CTGTAGTAGTAGTAGTAGTAGTAGTAGTAGTAGTAGTAGTAGTAGTAGTAGTAGTAGTAGTAGTAGTAGTAGTAGTAGTAGTCGTAGTAGCAGTATTGTATTGGGATAGTCTCCTATCTCCATTACTTTTAACGAAAACCAATCAGTAATTCCAAGAAAGAAAATAACCTACATAAACTTCCCGATAATCACGCAACTCAAGCCAAGACGACCTCAGAATATTCCTCACTAACACACTTCACAGCACTAGACCAATATAATTCAATTATAATTTAACACCATGTGTATTTACTTACACCCATGCATTTTGATTATTACTGAGTGTATTTTAATCTGTTAATGTGTTCTGTACTGCCATGTTCCAGAACCTTCTCTTAATCATACCCCACTACGCCATGACGCCCTAAATACGCACCATTACCGTCGGCCATTTTTTTTAAACATTTGGGTTTCGTATTATAATCACAAAAGTTCCCTCCGAGCCGTAATTAATATTTTAAAACCAAATATACGTGACTTGGTTTGGGTTACTGTTTATTAATCTGAATTGTTATTGGAACATTTCGACATAAGTCTCCGTGTGTGGGTAGGAACCTGAAGACTTATCCAGAAAGTTCCAACTAGTTATATATGAATAGATAAAGTCTCTGAAATACATTATATGTAAATTAAAATTAGAAAATACAAAGAACAATATTTAAATGTCCTAATAACCAGTTCCATCAGAAATGTATATATTTTTAAGACTAAAGACTAAAACTTAACCCGAATTTCGGAACTGGTCTTCGGACCTGCTGCTCGGAATGTTTAAAAAAAAATGGCCGTCTGCCTGTTCCTTCAGTTCATAGCTGGGCCTTGGTGTGACTAGCTGGTAGTTTTCCTTACTCCTTGCGTGACCATGTTCCTTTGTGTTTGTTGTTGAAACTGTGAATACTTATATTTTACTAACCATGCGTTTACTTAGACCTCGCCATTGCCTTGCAGTTATTACTAATAATATTACAGGTAACACATTGCCATTATTGACATTGTTACTCTGTAGTAACGTGCATTGCGACCAGATGACGGCATGAGTAGATTATAAGACAACTAGGAGTTTACTGGTAGTACAGTATTGTGTTCCATCATCACGACTTTCCACAGTTCCCGCGTCATCTAACCTATTACTACAGGATCTACCGTACATCTGTTCTAGTACACGTGCAGAGACATAAACGATCACGGTGGTGTAAGCTAACTGGGATCACGCACTCACCATACCATAGTGTTATATGGTGACTCATCTACTCTATCCCTACACCAGTGACATATTTGTAATTCGTAGTCATTGTAAAATCTGTCTTGAATTGATCAATAGTTTTCGTTTTGTTCACATATATCACAGGATGGCAGAGGGTGGTGATGAAAACAGAGGAAAGAGCGACGGCATTGGTCGAGAAAGCCAAGACGTTATAGCTTGCAAGAGGCATGACATGACAGGAAGAGGGAAACGCGACCTCATCACCCTCACCGTGTCACTTTTCTGCATGATGTAAGTACCTAAATAATGGTTTAAGGGGTGAAGTGGCTGAGTGGATATAGGGCTCGCCTTCTGTCCTAAGATCTAAGGATCGCTGGTTCGCGCCCAAGGAACCACCAGTTCACTCGTATGTAAATGAGTATCTAACTTTCAAGTTGGGAAAGGTAAGGCGACCAAGTACCGTGCCGGCCTCGCTGTCTCCGTATGTGCCGAAAGCTTAGTGTACGGAGTGATAAAAAATATCCACGCTCTCCCTAACTGGGCGTCATGCAAATGAAAACAACTTTCATGAATCAAGGATGAGAAAGGGTCCGCACAACACCGTCACGCTGCTCGCCATGGTGGTAGACGGAAAATCTGACGCGCCTGCCGTGCAACTTCATTATGGACAGCAGAGCCAAAATCAGGATGCAAGAACATTTTGGAGAAGAATTCTCACTATCGAGCGGCGTGCCTCAGGGCTCTTGTCTCTCACCAACCCTTTACACACTCTACACGGCTGACCTGCCACCCCCAATCGTCGGCAGCGAGTACGTCATGTATGCCGACGATGTAACACAGATCGTCACCTGCCCAGGAAGGTCCACAGCAAGGATGGCGCGACTCACTGCTCGGGCAATAGAGGAGATCTCGGAGTATGAAAATAAATGGAAAATAAAAACAAACAAAACGAAATTTGAGGTCATACCCATAGCCAAATTCAAGCCGGCCCCATTGATGATCGACGACGAAGAGATTGAGTACTCTAAACAAGGCAGGTTGCTCGGCCTCATCATTTCTCGGACGGGCATCATTCCCCACGTGAAGGACAGACTAAATAAAGCCAAAGTCGCCGCAGCCAAATTAAAACGTTTTAAATTGATGCCTGAGAAGATACAAGTTCACCTGTACAAGGCGCTGGTGAGGCCTGTGTTGGAGTACCCATCTATACCACTCGTCACACTCGGGAAGACTAGACTACAACAACTACAGAGCTTCCAAAACAAGTGTTTGAGGTCAGCCAGTGGCCAAGCGCCACCCTACCAGGAGACAGTGGAAACCATCCACCTAAGAAATAAAACAGAGGCCCTCAACTTCAGGTTCCATCGCCTAGGGAAGAAGGTTTGGGACAAGCTCCTGGACGACCCTCACAGCCCAGACCACCTACGCAGGGAAGACATCAACGGAGGGAGACCCCACGCCTGGTGGCCCCGGAGTCTGCCCGCACTACAACAACCCAACCCGCAACCCATCCATGTCCGCCACAGTGATCCACCTTAGATTAAAACTTAGATGATATAAATTCACATTTAACAAGTCAAAATCAAGTGAGTCCATAACGTAATACAGTATAAGATGTTAATAAACTTGTAATTGTAAAATCAATCTAGTCATTGTCTACTAAAATAACCATTGTGCAACCTCATTCTAAATCCTAGGTTAGCTTAGTTAGCCAACAAACTCTGTAATATGTAAAACAAGGGGTGTCGTCCCCCTCTGTTTAACTCATTAAACTTCTTTTCCAACCTTTCCCCCCACGACTATATGTTGTGACTTCTCCATCCCTCATGTCTGGCTGTGCCTTGAGCCCCAGCATGCCTTCCATCCTTTCCCCACCTTAACCTAAAAAAAAAAAAAAAAAGCGGTGTGTGTGTGTGTGTGTGTGTGTAAACATCCACACTGTATACAGATTGGTATTACCGATGGCGAATCTTGTCAACAGTAATATCTAATTCATCTTATTTACTTAATGCCACCAACTAGAGTCGACCACACCGACAGAAGGAGGCCGTGGCTTGTGTGGGATCCTTTCATTGTTCTCGGTAGTTTTACTTACGGCTGTTTTGAAGCCCAGTACTGTTCTCGATTCCACAGCTTGAGCTGGTAGACTATTCCGTATATCTACAAACCTCTGTGTAAAGAAGTAAATGTGTGTGTACACATACACTTATGAGTTGCCTCTGAAGATGTCTCGAATAAGGACGAAAGCTAAGGTGCTTCATTGTTTCCCTTTCCCTGCGTGAATTTATCGAGATTTATATTGTCCACGTTTTCATTGTGGATGTACATGAAATACACTTATGAACATAATTTTAGTTCAAACAGTCACACACAAGGAAATACACACACACACACACACACACACACACACACACACACACACACACACACACACACACACACACACAAAGCTATTGACCTCGGGCTTCGGAGAAGTCTTATACCATGGCACAGACTTCCTCAGTGACCGACGCCAAGCTGTACGCTTCCGAGGGGCTGTCTCCACCTTTCAGTCACTCACCTGTGGCGTCCCCCAAGGCACCAAGATGGGACCACTCTGCTTCCTTATGCTCATCAATGATGCCCGAAGAGAAACCCCTGCTCGCTGGAAATATGTCGACGACTCCACCATTGGGATCAGCGTCAACAATTCTGCTCCCGACTATACCGCCCTTCAGGATTTATTGAACAGTCTCCAAAACTGGGCCACCAACAACCATGTCACCATCAACCATACCAACACCATGGTTATGCACATCAACCTCTCCTCCGACATTGTCCCACCTCCTTCCATTACTTTAGGTCCGAACACACTCCAGGTTGTAGATTCCACGAAGCTCCTCGGCGTCACCATAGACAACAAACTAAATTGGAAACCACACGTCAGTGAAGCTGTCAAATCCTCCAGTTTCCGTCTCCACCTCCTCCGCCGACTCAAGTCCCTCGGAGTTCCTGCACCCGAGCTCCTCAGTGTTTACACAACATTCATACTTCCTAAGCTCACCTACCTGGTCTTCCTCCCTAAATGCCACACAACGTAAACACCTAGAAAAAGTGCAAAAGAGGGCATGCAAGATTATTCTCTCCCCTTCCTACTCCACATATCAAGAAGCGCTCAACACACTGACCCTTTCGGCTCTCACTGACCATCACCACGACCTCATCTGCAAATTTGGTAAGAAGCTTCTACACTATCCTCGACACCGGCTCCTACTACCACCTAAGATCCCAAGACCGAGAATTGCTGTTCGACACCACAACCGCATCCAGCCCATACATGCACGAACTGATCGCTATAAGAACAGCCCAGTCCCAACCATTGTAAAAATTATCAATAACTTGTAATAAACCAGTGTATTCACTCCCAGTAAATACTACTTCTTGCACTGTCACTATGTTGAAATGCACTGTAGTTTGAGCTTTTCCCCATCTAGTTATTATATATCTTATTTGTGTCACTTATGTTACTTGTATATTATTTGTAATTCGTAACCCATTCCCCAAATATGTAACTGTATATTTTCAGCCTTCTGGCTGCCAAGCTCTTTCAATAAACCGTAAATTATTATTATTATTATTATTATTACGCACACAATCACACACACACACACACACACACACACACACACACACACACACACACACACACACAATTATGTGTATTTGTCACGCACTTCACATATAAATAACCAAATCCATGTGAATCTATACGCAGCGGGCGTCTCTTGGTGTGCGTGGGCGTGGCCGGGCGTGTGGGCGTGTTGGGTCTTGAGCTCCGCCCCCCTACCTATGACCACCACCTCCCACCACGGGGGCCAGGTGAGTTACCTTGTTGTTTAGGAGGATGTGGTCACTCCCTGGTGTCTTGTTATGAGTGATCATATTTATAAAGAAAGACAGACTGACAGACAGACACAAACGGAGATACAGACAAGCAGATAAACACAGATAGACAGACCGACAAACTGAAACAGACAGACAGACAGACAGACACAGACATGTGCTTAAAGAGTTCATATGATCATTCCTCTTTTTTTCCTTGTGTTGATGTTCGTCTGGCTCCACTCTCTGTTTACCTTAGTGTCTGACCCAATTTGTTTACCCATGAGTTTTTGTTACGTTGAGTGAAGAATGGAGGGAAGGAGAGGACAAGAAGAGAGAAGAAGGGAGAAGGAGAGAAAATGAGAAAGGGGTAAATGAGGGAAGAAGGGAGAAAGAGAAGAAATTAAAAGAGAAGGGTAAATGAGAATAGAAGGGAGAAGGAGAGAAAATTAGAGAAGGGTAAATAAGAGAAGAAGAAATAAGAGAAATAAGAGAGGGAGAGATAGGGCATAAGTGACAGATATCCGAGAAAGGACGATGAGAGAGGGGAGTAACTAGGGAATAGAGAGAGAGGGGTGTGAAATGTACCGTTGTGTTACAGTGCCATGTTAATATCGATCAGTAAATACAGTAATTAAGCTGTAGACTGTTATACTCTTTAAATTAGTCAGTGCATTCGTTTCTTTACTTGCTTTTTGCTTCCCTCTGCACTTGCTGTACTTGTATTGTGAAGAACCTGCGTGACTGATTCAATAGCAGTTAGTTTAAGCCTCAATCTGTATTGGAACTGTCTTTTGGGGTCGATTTTCTGAGTAGATTCCTTACATGTAATTAAAAAAGTGAAGTTGTTCTCATGTGATATATATATATATATATATATATATATATATATATATATATATATATATATATATATATATATATATATATATATATATATATATATATATATATATATAATTTATTTATTTATTTATTTATTTATTTATTATTATTATTATTTATTTATTTATTTATTTTATTTTTTTTTTTTTTTTGTCTGTGGTACAGACGGCGGTCCGGTCATCGTGGCTGTGTCTTTGAGGATAAATTCCTTCGCTGAGGTAGACGAAGTTAACATGGTGAGTCGGATATTTACGTGTTCCACCACACACTAAACCCCTCCACTCTCACCTGGCATGTGTTGACGTGTTCCACCACCCATTCCACCGCTTCACCCTCACCTAGCAGGTACTGGCATGTGCCACCACCCATTCCACCCCTTCACCCTCACCTAGCAGGTACTGGCATGTTCCACCACCCATTCCACCCCTTCACCCTCACCTAGCAGGTACTGACATGTTCCACCACCCATTCCACCCCTTCACCCTCACCTTGCAGGTACTGATATATTGACCACCCACTACACTCCACTATTCTCACCCGACAGGTGTTGACGTGTTCCACTATCCACTACACCCCACCACCCTCGCCTGGCAGGTGCTGATGCATTTCACCATCCTCTACACCCCTCCATTCTCATCCAGTAGGTGCTAACGTGTTCCACCACCCACTCCACTCCACAATTCTCACCCAGCAGGTGTTGACGAAACTCAATAAACAGGCCAGGTAGTAGCCTTCACGTGCTACTACATTTCTATCACCCCTATTCAAACAGCGGTGAGCAGAAATTTATAACTGGCTATGTTCAGCCACTTACTGTACAGTACATAAAGACCCAATACTAATATAAACTCCCCAGCGTGTGGTGTTCGACGTGTACCTCCGCATGGAGTGGCTGGACCCCCGCCTGTTGATGCCTTCTGACCTCTTCAACAACACCAAGCCCTACCTGACACTCTCGGGTGACATCGCCCATGACCTCCACCTCTGGCAACCTGACCCATTCCTTGAAGAATCCATGTAAGTTCCAATTAAACTAGCGCCCGTGCGGAGCAAATCTGAATCTATAAATGAATTTTGACCGCGTTTGGTTCAAGCAGCAAGCAGGGCAGGAGGAATTACCCCGTCCACCATGTCCTCGGGTATGTATGCACTTTACAGTTCGTGGGTTCAGTCATCAAGTGAAGGATCAAGTTGTCTTGCTTGTAGGAATGAAAGTACCATACTACAGGGATTAATACTGTATCAAAGTTAACCACTGTGATAGAGTTAGTGATTGAGTGGTAGCTAAGTTTCAACATGTGGTAGGTTCAACTCAACTGCATCTTCGTTAACATAGTCATAAGCTTCCCTAGATACATATAATTATCAAGGATTATATTTCCTCTTTTAATTTTATTTTTTATTTTTCTTACCGTTTTATTTCTGTTATCCAGCGAGGTGTACCGCTTCAGTAATAGTGATAACTAATAATAGCAGTAATAATAATAATAATAATAATAATAATAATAATAATAATAATAATAATAATAATAATAATAATAATAATAATAATAATAATAATAATAATAATAATAATAATAATAATAATAATAATAATAATAATAATAATAATAATAATAATAATAATAATATTAGTAACAATATTATAAAAAATTTAATTAACAATAGTAAATATAATGATAGTAACAATAATGACAATAATAACAATAATAATAATGAAAACCAAATATATTTTATCCAATAAAAACCTTATTGAAATTAATTTACTGGGAATGATTTCATTCAAAACTATGCTAATAAAGATTTTCTATCAACAATCTTTAATCAGTGTTTTTTATTAAACTGTCTACATGTTATTTCAACTCAATTTCTTGAATAACAAGTTCCATTGATTTCCAATAACAACCATTCTTTATTAAGTGTGCTTAGGTATTCACTGTTAACACCTGCAGACGTGTGAGCACCGTTGGCTTCTTCAGACCTTACCACGGAGCTCGACTCTTCCGGGACGGCAGACTCCTCCTCTCTCAGATGTTAGTACTCAAGACATAATAGTGATATCTCCGTTAGTCGGAAAAAGTGGTGCAGAGCACCAAAGCCAAGCAAAAATCCTTCCTCCTGGAATTTTCCGGGTACCCGGAATTTTCTCTCAAAAGTTCCATAAATTGCACATTACATCATATCTAGATCCCAGAAAGAAATTTCCCAACTCCGGAAATTTTCCGGATACCGGAATTTTTGGGTAAGAAGACTTATGTATTATTTCATCTCTCATAGCCAGAAAAAAATCCTCTTTCCCCAGAGTTTTCCGGGTACCAGGAATATTTTCTCAGAATTTTCCAGAAAATGTGCCCCTCGGAAAATTGCTTCCAAAGCTAGAAGTTTCCAGAAAATTTCGACTTTGGGAACAATTCTCCAAGAAAATTTCAATTCTGGCTGTCGGAAAGTTCAGTTCTGGTTAAGAGGGATTCAGACTAACAGAGATGTTAGGTATATGTTCTTGTTATTTGTCAGTATTTGTCCACATTGTTCTTCACTATATATTCTTGTTGCCTGTTATTATTGTTGTTCATCAGGTTTCTCATCACCATGAAGTGTTCCATGTACCACAACAAGTTCCCCTTCGATGAACAGTCATGCCAGTTCCTCATCTCTAGCTGTGAGTGTTCTCCACTTACGTATATATGTGTACTTTAGGATGGTACCTCTGGTTAGGATAGATTATGTGGCACCCTTTGTTAGGTTAGGTTATGCGGCACCTCTCTGTAGCCTCAGATAATACAGTAAAATAGATAATAAATATATCACTCGGTAACAATTAGGTTAATTTTCCTTATTCATATTTGAGTATCATCTTCTCCTACCATCACTTGTCGCAATATTTATCATCAGGTATTCATTCTTGTATTTATCTCTTCATTTATCTATTATGTCCCTTGTTTGGTTCCACATATTCTCTTCCTTCTCTAAACCTATTCTCCTCTTCCTAATTATTCATTTTGCTGCTTACTTGGACCCCAGACTTATCCTATACACTGTAGTATATGAGTCAATACGTTAATTTTTTTATAAGTGCATAACAAGTTCCTTTAATGTTGGAAAGCTGTAATTCAAAACTAAAGTTAGCATTGCCAGGATTTATAGGTTAGAATTCTAATTTGAAGATCAAATATCGTCTTCATAGTTGCCGCCTTCAATTTCTCATGATTTTCTAACTACCAAATTCAATATATTGTTTTATCTCTTGCATTTTTTTAGATGTCATTTCTGCTGTCCTTGTTTTGCTAATATATTAATTGCCTTCTTTACTGAAATCTTATCTGCTCAAATCCGCTGCTCTAATCCGTCATGAATCACTGGCTGTTCTGGTGAGGGTACAACTCTCATGGTACAACACCTGTAGTATAACGCCCATGCAGATTTTCACAGTGGGCAGGACATGGTGTTCACGTGGAAGGGCCAAGGCATCACAGCCAATCCGCTCATCCCGGACATGCTCCCAAACTTTCACTTCACCTTCAAGCAGTACAACATCACCGTGTGCAGGTGTAACACTTGTCTTAATGGTAGGTGCGTGTGTGTGTGTGTGTGTAGATCTTGAATTAGTAATGCTGATTACTCACAATCTGCAAGAACAATTAAATGAAAGTCTTCTTTAAAAAACTTTATGAAGACCTTTTTATCATATTGTCTTGATTTTCAACATGTATTCGTATAATTAAATGCATTTCGATTTTTTTCAAGATAATAACTATTAATGCTCATTGTTCTTATATTAGATGTTGAAGAAGCTAATTATTATGGGTCCTAATATTTAGTAAATACTAAGGGATCACTGTATGTAATAATTTTCAGGACACATTTCTGTAATTCCCTACTTCTGTGTCGCATCAGTGGAGCGAGCGTGCTTGAAGGCTCAGATGAAACTGGAGCGGCGCTACTTGAACTACCTGATGGGCAGTTACTTGCCTGCAACATTGTTCGTAGGCGTGTCGTGGGCGTCGTTCTTTTGGCCAGCCCAGGCCATCCCCGCCCGCACCGTCCTCTGCATCACCTCCCTCCTGTCTATCATCTCCCTCTATGCCAACGTCCAGTGAGTCACATACACGAGAGGGGTCCACAATTCCGGTCACATAAAGAGGTGACCAGAGGAGAGTTGAGGTAGAAATATACAGTGGTGGAGTGTCTGAGAGACAGGGTCAAGGTAGAAAGAGACTGTGGTGGAGAGATGGGAGTTAAGTAGATATGGACATCACTGCCAGATCATTATACTTCTAAGTCATTGTATCTTGTCGTAAGGTCACAACAATTGAATATGCCATGCCATATACTCATAACTGATACTAGAGCATTGTGTCGTATCGTAAGTTCACACCACTAAAGTGTTTGTGTGTTGTCCTGCAGGCAGATCATCCCTCCCACTAATTACGTCAGAGCCATCGACATCTGGTTCATTTTCTGCATCTGTGCTGTCGCCTCCTCGCTCTTCGAGTACGCCATCATCCTCATGTAAGTCTTCCTGATCGTTTCCTCCAGTGCACCATGGAGCTATAAAGATAGATACATATAATTAACACAAATAGAGAATAATAATTGTGAGCTAAAACCAAAGAAAAATATATAGTAAAATTAAAGTAAATATATCACTCATACGTAAAATAAAGTACACCATCTCCTCTTATCTTGCTGACAACACTTTACCTTTGTTCTTTACTTCATATTAACTTTCGCTGAACCAGGATGTTGACGAAGACTGTGGAAGGTATATCATACTTATTGACACTGACTAGGTGAGGGAAATTCATTGACCAAGAAAAGAGAGCTGGCCCGGCGACTGTGAGGCCAGGATATTCGCTCTCCACTCGTCTCGGCGTCTGGTGGCCTCTGTTGGCAAGTTGGTCTCTGACTCTAGTTTGCCGCTAGTCTCCATTCACTAACACATCCACTACGAGATATTTGAAATATCTCACTTGGCGACTGGTTGCTGCTGTTGCCGTAACATGACGTGTCGCAGAGGTCGGACAGAAAACCGGAGTGAACACAGCAGCCAATCGTGAAGCACTCTGTTTTTTCCTGAAAGTACAGCTGTTGCAGCTGCCTTTGACCGCACAAAGTGTCTTGCCAATACCGGCTCTAACAAGGTCACACCGGGTTATATCGTCCCTCGAACAATTCGACAACTTAGAACACAAATTCGTCACAAACAGAGAGGCTCCGGAAGCAGCAATTCCCCTGGACTCCCCACCCACTTGTTACGATGCCCTCCGTAAACTTCCTGACTTTTCGTATGTGTACTGGAAAGGGTCGCGGAAGAGGAACGTGATTGCTGCTCGACTCATCATCGGGTACGAGTTTGCTCGGGAGATTAGTATCCCCACCTCCCCCGAGCAACGTGCTTGTTTATTATGCAAGAGAACAGACAGCCGCACATTACATCCTGAGTTGTTCCCACACGCAACACTTCCGTGACGCATGCTGGACCACCACTCCGAGACCTATTGACGGAAGCACGATGCTTATCACCTGCATGCTGGACAAATATTTAATTAATAATATTGATTTTATTTTGAAGGGATATACTCCTTTCTTTAGGCGTAAGTAAGATCTTTTGTATTATTTAATTTATTTGTTCCTGAAACTCCTGCCAGATGCTTCTGGTAACATTGTGCAGGGGTATCTGGTGACAGTACGAGGATCCTGTTTCTTATAATATGGAATAAACTGTTGACATTGAAATTCAATTTGACCAAGAAAAGTGAGCAGAAATTTTATTGTTCAGTCTGGCTTAGTATGCGTGCTAAAATAACTTAGATGTTGATACGCAGAAATACATAAGAAATACAAACGATAGAGACATCTTTAAGTTTACTGGGTAATACAGTTTAATCTATAAGTCAACTAGGCATTGGACATTGAATATTACTTTCGTTTTCTTCAGGATACGAGAGAAGCGGACAACCGACTCCACGACCGTAGTCAAGGTAGTGAGTATTCATTAGTCTGGTATTTATCTGTCAAATGTCGTCACCGTTCATTGTACGAGTTGCGACACTAGTCGATCGCATTACACTTGTTATCATGTCAAATTTCTGACACAACACAACGATATATCGTGGCTGGGGTCGACTCCACCTATCTTTACCTAGATTATGTTGGGTTAAGGTTAGGTCAGTCAATCAACTATCAACACCGATCAGCGTGAACTGACATAAAAACATAATATATTAATGACTATAGTAAACTACAGTAATACCATAATCAAGTAATACTAAAATCAGATGACCTTGACCTTTTGCCTCCAATTAAAATTACCAAGGACTTGTCATATTGTCTATATATGCTGTACCACAGTATAAACGCTTGTAGGTCTTTACATTCTTGAGTAATGCTGCGGATGCACTTAGTTATTACGAGACTATTATAGATGGTATTGAACACCCGGCTTGGGTGTGTAGTAGCTGTTCGTGAAAGACTGATTCTTGTATGTGGGATTTTGATTTGGTTAGGGTTCTTATCACTATTTGATCCATTAATTAAAAAATTTGCTTTTGAAAAAAGATCACAAAAATAATCTCCCTTTTGTGGAGCCACATTTTTTATTAGTTTTTATTAATGTCAAAATATTTTTCCTTCTTCCTTCTTTGTTTTGTCTGGTGCCAATCCTCTGAGTACGATGATATAACTCTCTGAGTACAATATCATCATACTCAAGATAATAAGTCAGTGTATTCAAGGGGTTAAGTCATTGTATTCGAGGGAATAATACCCTGTACTCGAGCGTTAGTCATTATACTTAAGAAATTGAAATATCATAATCAATAGACCAATACAGTAAACTCACGGAGATTAGCATCCTACTGAAGAGGTTATAAACAGCATCTTGGATCTTCTCCACCACAGGTACCATCAATCGACAACACCATCTCCAGCACAGGTCCAGCATCCGGAAGGCCGACAGGCGTCGCCACGAACCTGAGATGGAAGCGCCTCGAAATATTAGTGGAAAGAACAACTAAAATCGTGTACGCCGTCATCTTCGTCGTATTCACAATCGTCTACTTCAGCCTCCTCATTAAATAAAACACAGACTAGTGAGAGTAGTGGAAACCAAGGCAGTAGCTGAGACACTTCATCCTGTTCTCACATCAGAGCTTGAGAATTTAGTCAGAAATATTAGTACAAATTTTAACGGGAAAATTTATCCGGGAAAATTCTCTCCATTCTGGGTCTGTGAACGAGTTTTCGAGGTTGAGAATCAGGTTTATTTTCTGAGAAAATTCCGAAAAATCTCTTAAACAATTTGTTTCCAGGTCTTAGAGCAAATTCTAAGGTTAAATATCATGCACAATGTCTGAAGATAAAAGAACTCGGAACTTTTGCCAGTAACCAGAAAAATTATAGGGATGTGGGATTTTTCAGGGTTTGAGAGTTTTCGTGTTATATGGAAATTTCTCGTCCCCGGAAGAGCTCTGCACCAATTATTCAGGCTCACGGGGATATCACCTGTATATTGCACTTTGTAGAGGGTGATTCTCTTAAGAACTTAAAATGTAATACAGTAATGTATATCATCATACGAGCCCTGTTGTTTACCATACTCAGGATAAGCAATGTTAGACAAAACAGTAAATAAAAAAATAATTCTCTCCTACAGGAAGCATTGTTCTGCACACCTGCAACTCTTAACTGCATTGAGATACTTTAGCAGTGACACCTTCCAAATTAGTATGGCAGACTGCTTGAAGATTTCTGTCTCATCAGTTTGCAACTATTTTGACCCTTACGGCAAATATTACATCCCCTTTCCAGAATTAGGCAACATACAAAACCTTGTACAGGTAGATGAATTTCACACCATTGTAGGGATGTCTGGTGTATTTGGCTGCATTGATGGGTCTCATATCCCTATTAGATGCTCTGGAGGGAACACAATTGAACTACGTCGATGTAGAAAGGGGTGTAATTGATACATAACTTTGATTTGTATTCTATAGTTTGTTTGAAAGTTGATCAAGTGTAAGGGTAAATGGAAGCATTATTGGTTTGGTAAAAAAATTTGTTTTAGATAATAGATTTTATTAGCAAGGTTATTTTCCAATAAGTTATTTGGCTTTAAATAACACATTTTATTCCTCCAAACATTATCACGGTACAACTAGAAACATTATTTCAATAATTATAATAAAATTCAAAAGGGATTACACTGGCATAGCTAAAGAAAAATATTTACAGTACAGTACAGTACAGTATATGTAAAATTATATCATTCAAACAGTATTGTATTTTGCTTGAAATAATAAATGTACACATTTTTAAAGGCTTCAAAGGACTATACTGAAATACAGGGTGTCCATAAATGATTACCCTGATTAAAGCATGAGAGCATGCTGTTTTCGGGGTAATCATTTATGGACACCCTGTAGTTTGCAAGTGTCAGAGAAATCTTTGCCTGGATGAGCAAAAGGTCCCCAGTGATTGGAAAATAGTTTATGCGAGTCCTATGTGCAAGAAGGGCGATCGTCACCCCCACGAATAACTATAGACCAGTGAGCCTGACCAGCATAGTATGTAAAGTACTTGAGGGGATTATAAGCGATGCTATGATAGAACATCTACCAATCAACCTTGTAAAGGATTGCCAACACGGTTTTATGCCAGGGCGCTCCCTACTTAACACAGTTACTCAAGGTACGGGATATTGGAGCCAAATTCTGGAACAGGGCGGAAATATCGACAATATTTACCTAGATTTTGCCAAGGCTTTCGTCAGTGTACCCCATGAAAGGTTGAAAATTAAACTGGAAGGGTACGGGATTCGGGGAAATGTCCTAGCATGAATCAGACACTTTCTACATGACCGCAACAGTGTGTGGTGATTAATGGCACGAAATCATCATGCGTACCCGTCATAAGCGGGGTACTACAGAGCAGCGTATTGGGCCCACTGTTGTTTGCTTGCTTCATAAATGACATGCCTGACGCTGAACATTCCTCCATACAAGTGTTTGCGGATGATGCCAAGTTATTTCTGGAAATTAAGAACCAAGCAAACTGTGAAGAGCTGCAGAATTATTTCTGTGAGCTTCATAAATGGTCGAAGAAATGGCTACTAAAATTCAATGTCACGAAGTGTAAGAGCATGCACCTGGAACGTACCAACGGTAAGAAGGAGTATCATATGTCCCAACTGGACGAAGAAACTGCATTAATTGAGACCGAAAGTGAAAAAGACCTCGGTGTGTATGTTGACTCCTGATCAGAGGCGGCCCAGATTGGGTGCTCTGCGACGGTTTCCTGTAGCGGAACGTCGGCCGCGACCCCAATAGTGTTTCTTGCACCAGTGGCTATTCTTCCTTTATTCTTCCTTCTATTTCGCTCTGGCCTGGGGACCTGCATCCTAGAGGTTTATTCGTCCTTAGGTCCTCCCTGTAAATGTTCACCTCCCTCCCAGGAGTTTGTGAACACGAAAGGGAGAAGGAGCAGAAACCATCTCTCCGCCGAGCCTTCCTGGGAAGCCGTGATCGTGCGGGTCCACCCGGGAAGGGAGTCGCATATCCTGCATCCCTTCCCCCAAGTAGGTACACTAGGGCTCACGCCTATAAGTGAGCAGATTAGATACACTAGGAAGTAGGTTTCTGACGGGGCTCTGGGAGAGATACACGGGAACCACCTTTCGACCATTCGACCGACAAAGGCGGTGGAGGTGTTGTAATTCCTGTGGTAGGTTAACTCACCCAGACTGGTAGGCTACCTATCGTATTTCAAAGGGTGGCTTGTCCACCTTGCCCTCTACAATGAGGGCACATAGGGTAAGGATACGCCCCTTGATGGGGATGTAACCGAACCACGGAAGAGCTCACTAGCCGCACTGCTCGGCGCAAAACTACTAATAAAGATCACGAGCCTTTTTACTACCAAGGATTCATTCATCGCCCTCTGCCTGACAGAAGAAGACGTTGACTCCCTACTATCGAACGACAGCATAAAGGAATTGAAGAAGCAGCGATTCGAAGTAGTAATCCCACCACAACTAAGAGCCAGGAAGACTGTAGTAGTTAAAAGACTGGACAAGACCCAAATGTACCCAAATGTAGCCGCAATGAAGTCAAATAATGGTCCTACATGAATAAATCAGACTGCCAATCACTTCTCGACTGGTATTTGGTGTCACAAAGTCACAAAATTTGGTAAACTTAATTTAATCTGACTAGCAGGGCTCATATCAGCGCTGCCGGCCCTAGGAGGGCCCATAGGGGCGTTGCAGCCCCTGGCAGGGTTATTAGGGGCACTCCCTGGTACACTCTGGAACTCCCATGTGTACACTGGCACCCCTTGTTTGGCACACCCCTGTATACTCTGGCACTCTCTTTTATACTCTGGCACTCCCTGGTACACTCTGGCACTCCCTGGTACACTCTTGCACTCCCTGGTACACTCTGGCACTGGTACACTCTTGCACTCCCTGGTACATTCTGGCACTCACTGGTACACACTGGCACTCCCAGGTGTACACTGGCACTCCCAGGTGTACACTGGCACTTCCTGGTACACTCTGGCACTCTTGTATACTCTGGCACTCCCTGGTACACTCTGACACTCCCAGTGTACACTGGCACTCCCAGGTGTACACTGGCACTCCCAGGTGTACACTGGTACTCCCTGGTACACTGTGCCACTCCCTGGTACACTCTGGCACTCCCTGGTACACTCTGGCACTCCCTAGTACAGACTGGCACTCCCATGTGTACACTGGCACTCCCTGGTACACTCTTGCACTCCCTGGTACACACTGGCACTCCCTGGTACACTCTGGCATTCCCAGGTGCACACTGGCACTCCCAGGTGTACACTGGCACTCCTGGTGCACTCTGGCACTCCCAGGTGAACACCACCCCAGGTGTACACTGGCACTCCCAGGTGTACACTGGTACTCCCTGGTACACTCTGCCACCCCTGGTACACTCTGGCACTCCTGGCACACTCTGGCACCTCTGGTACACTCTGGCACTACCTCCGGCACTCCACACCTGGCACTCCCTGGTACACACTGGCACTCCCATGTACACTGGCACTTCCTGGTACACTCTGCCACCCCTGGTACACTCTGGTACTCTCTGGCACACTCTGGCACTCCCTGGTACAATCTGGCACTCCCTGGCACACTCTGGCACTCCCAGGTGTATACTCCCAGGTGTACACTGGCACTCCCAGGTGTACACTGGCACTCCCTGGTACACTCTGGCACACTCTGGCACACTCTGGCACTCCTGGTACAGTCTGGCACTCCCTGGTACACTCCGGCACTCCCTGGTACAATCTGGCACTCCCTGGTACACACTGGCACTCCCATGTGTACTGGCACTTCCTGGTACAATCTGGCACCCCTGGTACACACTGGCGCTCTAGGTGTGCACTGGCACTAGCTTGTAATCCTCTGGCACTCACTGGTACACTCTGGCACTCCCTAGTACACTCTGGCACTCACTGGTACACTCTGGCACTCCCTGGTACAATCTGGCACTCCCTGGTACACTCTGGCACTCCCTGGTACGCTCTGGCACTCCCTGGTACGCTCTGGCACTCCCTGGTACGCTATGGCACTCCCTGGTACACTCTGGCACTCCGTGGTACACATTGGCACTCCCTAGTACACTCTGGAGTGGCTTAACAGTTGACCTCCGTCATGTAAGGCGGCGCTGGTTGACCTAGACCACGAGGCATACACTGGGGAATTCGCGGGGTCGGCTACTCAGCGACAAACAGTCTACATGCTCATCTTATTGTTACTACGATAACGTCCTTAATCTCATTCAAAGTCATTTAATTCCCGCCTTTAATCTCATTCATAGTCATTTAATTCCCGCTTTTAATCCCATTCAAAGTCATTTAATTCCCGCTTTTAATCTCATTCATAGTCATTTAATTCCCGCCTTTAATCTCATTCATAGTCATTTAATTCCCGCTTTTAATCCCATTCAAAGTCATTTAATTCCCGCCTTTAATCTCATTCATAGTCATTTAATTCCCGCTTTTAATCCCATTCAAAGTAATTTTATTAAGTTTGCCTTTTATAATGTCATTCTTGACTGTGTATTTATATACGTTTTCTTTGGTATTACAATAAGAGAAAACCCAACATTTATAGGGGTAGCTTATTTACTTTTATTATTATTGTAATGTATAGGAATTATTTTCCTTTATCCTCTTCGCCACTGACCGGCCTGTTAGCCGCTTGGGAGGCCTGTCACCTCTCTGTTAAGCACTGTTGGCATGTACTGGTTTTGTTGCGTACTGTTGGCATATACTGGCTCTCTGTTACGTACTGTTGGCACTGTGGGCATGTGCTGGCTCTCTGTTACGCACTCTTGGCAACTTAGTAAACAGTTTAAGGCAATTAAGGATTTAACCCTTGACGCCCAGGCTTAGGCATGAAACAGTGCTGTAGAAAAGGTGAGGTACTTCCCCGCCTGCAGTACTGTCACCCCATCTGGAGTACTGTCACCCCGCCTGGAATATTGTCACCCCGCCTGGAGTGCTGTCACCCCGTCTGGTCTCCGAGATATGCTAGGGACTGTCAGTTGATTGAAAATGTCCAAAGGAGGGCCACTAGACTGTAGCCTGCTCTTCGGCACCCCAGCTACCCTGAGAGATTAGAGCGCCTGCATCTATCTATCTGTCTATTACTATTCAGCGGTAACCACCCAGTAAGGAAATTATCATTATTGTAGTCGGGAAAGTACTTCGTCTATATTTTTTCACGTAAAGTTTTCTGAGTTAAGGGTTTAATTAATTTGAAAAGTTTTATATTATTCTTAAATAAAAACAAATTTTTTAGCAATATTAAAGTATTTTTTGTGATATAATTGAGTAAATCAGTAATGTTGGCCGCCCTGATTCGTCAACCCATGGCTTTTTCCCACGCTGAAGAATTTTGAGTACTGTACAGTACAGTGTTCTTATTTCTATTTCTAACTTTTCCTTATTGTTACTTTTTAACTTACGATATAATTTA